AGGCATATGCAATATAATGAACCTTCTGTCGGTAACTCGAATATTTTGCGAACTTATTAATTGTATTCCTTAAAAGATATGAAGATTAATAGCGCAATTACATTTGCTCGTAAGCCCGAAACGAGTGCCAATGGAATTGAGTTAAATGACTAATTGTAAATGAACGTAGTTGAGAACGCCCGTATTCGGGTAGTTTATGTTTTATAATAATAATAATAATATCATTTATTGTCAGACAACACAGATCCATATGTTAGTATACAATATAACTTATAACTAAGGGTTAGTAACCTATAAGTAAGTATTCACAAAAGTTTTGATTTTTAATACGTCATATACCTTAGAGGCACTTCGCGCGAGCGACACCAGGAAGAATAATAAAATTTGATTCTGACGACGTAGCCTGTAAAGGCTACGAAAACGTCAATAAATAAATAAAGTTTCGTGCATTAACCCGTAAAAAACTAGTTTTAGTTAAGAATAATTAACTTCTATTTCAGTCATCATGCGCACGGAGTGTCTCCAAAATGGTGCATGCGGATGACCTGCCACGACTCTCAGAATGGTGTTGTTACTGCTCCGCACTCTACACATCTGGGACGCAACTTTTTGCCACAAGACGGCATGGAAACCGTTTGTTTTAGTTACAGCAAACATTCCGGAGGCACTACAAAAGCGGGGCAGTCCCAACATCATTCTGAAAATGTTATTGTATTGCACGCGCAGAGAGTCCATCGATTTGGTTACCCGACATCGTCTTCCAGCTCGTATTACAGTGTAAATATTGCTTCGGGTGCCCGAATTCGTTTAATGTCTTTCGGGCACCCAAATACGGGCTAACGACCAAGTGTAATCGAGCCATAGCACTAGGTACTTATTATATAAATGTACACTATTTTCATTCTTCACAAAGTTCATTCGTCACATATTTATTTACTCCATACATTGAAAGTTAAAACATTTCTTTTTATCCAAACATTGAAAGTTATTGGCCAAGTGCTTGTCGTGCCACACACAGTGCAGAGTTCCGTAGTTGCCCGTCGACAATACAATATATTTCATAAGGAGTCTGTTTTCCGCGTTACAAATAAGCAATTACTTCATCTAAGTAAGTTATAATGTTTTCTTCTAAGGCTTTTTTATTAGGTGAGAAATATTCTAATACCTAAAGTTGAACGACGAGTATTCTTAAACTGATTTATCCTAACTTAACCATTATAATTTTCTTTAAAAGTTCATGCAAATTACTGATATCAGTAAAAAAATAGATTTAAAAACAAAGAAGTCAAATGCTTAAAATATGACTACAATCGATATATTTTCTTCTTTCAAATGTTTCATATTTGTAAAGGTGTTCGATTGACATTGTGGGTTTCCTACAATGCGAAGGGGTGGCGTTGCCTTGCATCCTAATAAATACTAGAAATAATTCGACACTGTCATTGGGTAGCATAATGGTCTGTGCATCCGCCCGGATAGCGGAGGGTGCGGGTTCGAGTCCCGTCTGCTGCCTTGTGGAAGTCCTTATGGAATTTTTCAAGGTTTATTAATATTTGCCTTAGTTTTTACAGCGATTTAAATTATATGTTTAAATTTTTTTTGGAGTTTACTCCTTAAGAATAGATTTGCATATATAAGGGGCCCGGTATGAAAAAAATGTGAGGAGTAAAATCTATCGATGAATGACCTCGTTACGTTTTTGGTGCGCATCCTATGTCGAGCAACTTTGACAAACAAAGATGACGGATTGACATTAATGAAATTTTTAAAATCTGAACTGAATTTAGATATTGTTTCTGATAGAGCAATGGGGACAACGAGGTATGGTACAACCATTGATGCGGTATTTTCAAGATTCGTGAACCACGTATCTACGAACGTCCATGTGTCTTATTTTAGTTACCATAAACCACTTGTCACTGTAATTAATAATGCAGACAATGTTGATTTAATTAATATTTAAAAAAAATATAATAGTCTGATAATAATAATTACATAATTTATCAACATTCCTAATGATATATTTATGCACATCTGAAATTGACTATTGTAAAAAGTTGAATGTAAAATATTTCGTCGATTAGTTATAATAAATGTATATGAAATGAATAAATATATATTTATATATGTATATTATTTTCATTAATTTGTTAATTTACCTTTTCATACAGTATCAATCTTTTTTAAGTTAAATAAACTCTTTTTGCGTCTGGTTAGACTATCGAACTTAAGGAGTAAACTCCAGTCGTGCGGAGCTGACACACACAATTTTTTTTGTGATAATATATAGTGCCTATAACTTTTGTTATATATAACTCAGCATCAAAATCTGTGAGTGTACAATCACCCACTCTTAAGGTAAGATTTAGGTCATAACTTTAAATAACCTGTCAATACTAGCAATTCAATAATAATGTCAATAAAATTGGGCAACTAAACAAAATGTCAATACTAGCATGCTACAAAACTCAAAATGTCAATACAATAAAAAAAATAAAAAAAATTGGGCAAATACTTTAAATAATATGTCAATATTTTTAAATCAAATATCAATAAGTTGGGCAAAAACTGTATTAATACATATCAATACTGTCAATTTAATAATCAAATGTCAATAAAATTGGCCAAAGCTATAAATAACATGTCAATATGTACTTGCAATCAAACTTGCAATTCAATTATCAAATGTCAATAAACTTTACCATAACAATGAATATATTAGAATAAAATAAAATAAATTCACAATTGGTCAATTGAAAATTTTGATACATTATAATAACATTTATCAATCAATAATTTCTTAATTTTCTGTTTATACAGATTATAATTTAAATCTTTCAAAGATGTTGGGGAGTCTATTATATATTCGAGGAGCCATACAGAATATATTATTTCCCATGAGAGCTGTTCTGGAGTTTGGCATGCAAGGCAAGGAAAGAACGTAAGCCGCACAGGATCACTTTGATGTCCGCCTGTCGGTCAAGACCCTTTATCTCGGGAATGCGTGGAGGTATCCCTTGAAAGTGTTATAAAATCAAACATCTAAGTTAACACATAAAAAAAGATATGGCCATTTATGTTGCGTACCTATAAATTTGTACGGAACCCTCGGCGGGAGACTCTGATTCGCAATTGTCCGGTATTTTTTTTTGTCGTATCGAATGCGAAGGTAAATAAAAAGGGAGTTTTGAGTTTAAGTATTTCTCTATCTTACCATTATCAAACAGCAGTTACTTGATTTCTAGTAAATCTATTCTTCATTTTCACATTCATGATGTCTATGGGATTACCTTTCACAGACAACTCGGAGCTAATTAACAATAGTGCTTAAAACACAATCATCGAGGTACAACATCGAAAAGAAAATGGAAAGTACATTACAAAACGTGTTGTTTTCCAATGCAATAGGGTTTAAAATCAATAATAGTAACACCAAGGTAACTTTATTTATTGAGGTTACATACCGTAAGGATTACTGCGAAACCCATAAACCACAGTCCAAAACCAAAAAAAAAATGTGAAATAGAGATTCAGATTTATTTTTTATTTTTTTTAGGTACCCCTGAAGGTACGACGGGATTTGCAAAGACTTTAGATCTACGTCCCCGAAGGGATTTGCAAAGACTAGATTTACGTCCCGACGGGATTTGCAAAGACTTTATATCTGCGTCCCCGACGGGATTTGCAAAGACTTTATATCTGCATCCCCGACGGGATTTGCAAAGACCTTATATCTGCGACCCCGACGGAATTTGCAAAGATTTTAGATCTACATCCCCGATGGGACACCGTATAAAAACTCATTTATTGAAGTTACATTCTCGACTGTATCAATTACTATTAAAACCCTAGTGAACTAGTGAAGAGAACTCTTCACTAGTTGACAAGGTTCAGTTAAGTACCGTTTTGGTATAAAAAATGGTGGCACCATTTAACGATTGTATAATTTGACAGTGAAAATTAAATAAATAAATATTTTCAACACTCACACCCCAAAGTAAGCACTGTAAGCTTGTGTTATTGGATACTAGGGTAACTAGGCTAAAAGGATAAAAACATATACTGATACATATATAAGTATATTTATGTAGAAATACAAATTAACATCCATGACTGGAGTACAAATGTTCGTATTCATCACACAAATATCTGCCCCCATCGGGATTCGAACCCGGGACCTCTCGAGTAGGTGACACCTTGAAACCCGACGTACAAACAATTCGGCCACGGAGGTCGTCAAAATTAACTGTCCACGCGAGGCCTGTCAAAGTTATAGCAAATTTTGACTTGTGCAACGAAAAGTGCAACTCACATAATTTATTCGCGTTGTTTTATGTATATTTAAATTTGACAATAGTTGAAATACTAGAGAAATAATAACCAATTGTTTTAACAAATTTTAATTGAACGTTACATTTACTATAGTCAAATTTGACTATGGATGAAACAACGCGGCTGTAAAATAGTATACGAACCAAACTTGCCCGATTTTTGTATTATCACAATATCTTTCATGAAATGTAAATACATATAGTGGGAGTCCAACAAAAACAAAGAATGCACAACTCAAACAAGTAGTTGTATAATTACCTATCACTTTTTTTTTCAGTTTGAAAAGTGCGGATTGTATTTTAAGAGATCTGCCAAATATCTTTTTATAATCTGAGCAAGTAGTTTTTTTTATTTGCTTTCTACAGAGTAAGATTCGTAAATTACGTATTCAATCAAAACTTGTTTTATTGATAAGGTTTCAAATGTCTAATATTAAGTGCATTTGCTATTTTTAACAATTCTGCAGATCTCTGGCTTTGTATTTAATTTGAATGTGGATTTACTTCCAACTAAATTCCTGAAAAGTTTCAACCAAATACATATAGAAACCATACTATGCTTCCATAGTACCACGCCTTATAAATTCATCTCGTCGTAATCATCAATCCAACTTGTCAACAATTCACCAATGAATGAAATCGTAACTTATTCGAAATCCATTAAAGAATATCCAATCCATACTTACTCTGTGCAATTCCAAAATTACGAATAAACAAAAGAGTATTTAATTTTATCAGATTTTGCTATATTACCTCCTTGCATGCGATTTATAGTAATCGATATAGTTGTTAAATCAGTTCTGGGGAGTATAAATAGAGTTGGTCACCCGCTATTCGATATCAGTCTCAGTTTTGAACTCGAGAGGATAACACAGGCACACAATGTTCGCCAAATTGGTGAGTATTTTATTAATATTGTCTTATTAAAGTACTGGGACCGAACTGAAGGCCTGTGGGATTGATTACATTAGGAATATGAGGAAAGGCTTAGGTATTCGTTAAAAAAAATAGTTTTTTTTTATTTTGCGTTCCCCAAAATATTAATTCCGTTATAAACTCAACTACTCTGTTGAAAAAGTATAAAACCACGAAGCAAGTGAAATTATTGTAATCATTAGTAATAAAAAGTCCTTTCTCGGCTAGAAATAGAAACCGGGCCCCACGTAGCAGGCGAGATTTCTACCTCGGAACCACCAATGGTTGTTGATAAGGTCCGATCTTTAATAACAATTGAAATGTAACGCGACCTGCTAAACATTAAGGAAAAAAATGTGACAATCTAATAAAAGTTTAACTATAATATAATTTTCCAGGTTTTATATAATTATAAATAATAATACTAAAACAACTATATAACGACGAGAGAATATCATTAATTTTTTCGGTCTAAGGTATAAGAATCATAAAATGCGACAATTTATTCAGGATTGCAAAACATTTCTACAGCAGAAAAAAATTTAAAACCGTATTTTATTTAGGTAGGCAAATTTAAAATTTAATAAGTACTTACTATGTACGAAAGTACCTAACAAATGACTAACGATGTATTTTGTTACATGCGGCATTAACAATTGGAGCAGAAAACTTTAAAAAGGATGAAAAAGTGTGTTATTGTTTTGATAAATAACTAATTATTTGACAATGAGAATGGATAGAAAAGGACAGATATGTATTTTCCTAACCTTACTTTATGACATAATTATTCAATGTTCTTATTAAAGTCATACGTAAGTCAAGAGCTGTAACTTCCATCTTATAACCTGCGCAGACGAAGGATTTGTGTCCGTGGTATTTTTTGTCCACCTACAATGTAGATCGCTTACATTTGCATCGAGTAACGCATATGTCGGATCAAAAGTACCAAATTCAAAAAAAAATAGTTTAAAAAACTAAAAACACGCTTTTACTTACTGCACTTAAAAGTCAAAAATCAACAAAATATACTCTCTGTGTACTTCATTAGGGTTCAGAGTAAGTCATGTTCATAGTTGATTTTAATATATGTATTAAAATGAAAAAGCGTGGGGCGCTTCATTATTATATTTTATTAAAATAATTATTATTAGTTCTAAATATAATTTTATCGTCTCCCGCAACCTCTTTTATGCGTGTAAAATATCGCCAGTCAAGTTGTGTAGCGTCTATAGATACGCAGCTCGATAATTAATTACGATAGAAGTAATTCACATTTCGAACGCTAATTTCAGCGCATTTATTACGACCGATAGGATAGATAGAGAAAATCAGAAGCTGCAAAAATCGGCAGGCATATGTGAAAAGAGTTATGTATGCAAAGGAAGCGAAAGATATACATCCTATTCATTGTACTATATATTTCTCTGTTTTCTCTGCCTACCGCACCTCTATGATGTGTAAATGCTGCGGTTGTAGATATTTTTTGTTTATTTAATGAATATTGAACTGATATAAAAGGATATATTCCTGATTACTCAAAGGAACCATAAAAAAACTGGTGATCTGATAGAAATGAAATTCCTAATCAAACAAGTAGATGAATTGAGTGGTAAATTCAATACGTAACAAAGATATAGACTTGTATGTTATCTCGATAAACTATGATACATTCAAACTTCGTGAAAATTATTAATTGCAAGCATTAATCAGTTTATAATAAAATACTTTTTGCTATCAACCACAAAAGTTTGGTGGTAATCAATAAAGCTAAGTAACATTTTCCGGAAAATGTGCCAAACCTATGTTTTACCCAGTTATTTGAATAAATAATATTGCACGCCCGATAAGGAATACTGTTAAAAATTACATCTTATAAACTCGTTATTGCAATAACAGTTCGATCTATCGAATCAATTTTTCTTTGGCGTAACTTCACTTCGAGATCCCTATAAAATTGTATTTAAAAAACTGCATTTACCTTTATGTTAAATAAATATATGAGAAGTAGGTATGCAATTGGAACTATAGGTCCGGGCATATAATAGCATTATAATAGTTTGTCATTGATTTCCATGATGGGTGTATGCGAGGTTGTTTGTATAATGACGAAATGCTAATGCGACTGGAATCTTAAGTACAAACTGATTTGTATTTATTCGACATAATTACAAATTAAGAAATTCCAGTGATACATAATTAAATATTTAAATCAATTAACTTATATCTCATTTCTTTCTTCTTTAAGTTTTGAAATTATTTTGACAATATGTGTCAAATTTGTAAATTAATGAAGTGAAAACTTCTTTAGCGGCGTTGTACACTTTTTTTGTAATGGGTAAAAAATGTAACTCGCGTCAGGACACGTGGCCTGATCGAAAATTCGTAAGACAAAAACAATAAAATTGGAAAGGTTGTTGACTTTCAATATATTGGACGAAACATATAGTAATATTTTATTTTATTATATTATAATAATAAGTCTCTAACTAAAACGTCCAGGTGGCAGCTTTATTGCGAAGAAAAGGCATTTTTTTACAATAGTTGTCGCTAGGTGCGCTTAAATGTGATTCGTGTAAGTTGATTTTTCTGAGAGATAAACTTTTTAATGTAATATAAATTGTCATATTTGTGTACGATAGCGCAATAAATAAATATTGTATTCTACCACATAAATGATAGTATTTTTATACTGATAATTAAAGCAGTTCGTGCAAAATGATTCAATAACCATTCCAAAATATCAAAAATGCACAACGTTAATATTCAAGTTTTTTTTTTACAAATAAAGCTGGGTGTCGCTTCTGCTAACCTAAAGTAAAAATCGTGTCTCAGTCTTAGTTTAATAGTATCGTTTTAATCACAGTTCCTGTTACTAAATTATAAAATAACAAATACTTACTTACTTAATTAATCTATAACAAATGAGTAAGTAAATACGTTTGTTATTTTGTGTTTTAGTTACAATAGATGAAGTAAAAATCAAGATTTAGTAGTCTCTCCATTAACTGTAACTCCACCTGTAACTGTAACTCCATTGACACACAAATATTATTATAACTTATCAGAATCGACACCCTGATATTGTGATGATAATATTGAAAAGTTTTTTTGCGTTGAATGAATAACTTGAATTATGAAATTCACAAATGATAGGTGACTGCATTTCATCTTGAAGTCGTTTTACAACTTGACAACTCTGTAGATAATAAAACAGGGAGAAAAAAACAGACCCCAGCTGATTTTCTTGCCAATTCTTCTCAGTACAAAGTCCAAGTCCAAGTACAGTATACTCAAGTATACTAACTGATTTTCGAATACAAAGACAGTTATGCCAATATTTAGCATTATAACGGTGAACAAAGGTTGCTTTAAAATATGTCATGAGCCTCAGGTAAAATATTGTCAAATATTAACTGATATTTTGAACTGATTATTTTTGCATATAGCAGATATTGGTATAACAACGACAGTAATTATATAATTGTTACTAGCTGTCCCAGCGAACTTCGTACCACCATAAAAAATAGGGGTTGGTGGTAGAAGGGTGAAAATTTAGGGTTGTATGTATTTTTCTATGATTAAAATGTATCATAAAAATTTTGCCCATAAAAAAAAAGGTTAACATTTAGGGGGATGAAAAATATATGTTCTCTGATTCTCATACCTACTGAATATAAAATTTCATGAACATCGGTCGAGCTGTTTCGGAGTAGTTCAATTACGCACACCTTGACACGAGAATTTTATATAAATATAAGATTAGAATTAAAGGGTTTAAATTCTCAATAACGATTTGAAGTAAAAGCTTTTCGTTATTACTGAGCAAAGGCGTGTATTGTGAGTACTAGTTGTACTAATCTAGATTCTTATGTAACTTTCTAGAAATTTCCGCATATTTGCCTGCAAGGTTGCTCTGTTTCGACATAGCAACAATGCAATCCCACCTACCCTGTTTAATTGGTATTGGTGCAAACAAATTTGTTCTTTATACATGGCGCAGTGAACACATAAATGTATTATTCATAAACTTTGTAAAACCAGCGATAGACCACAAATAATTTTTGTTTGTCGCATTCATAACAGTGTGGTAATTAACAATACGCCATCTTGCATTTTAAATATATTTATTTGACAGCTACTTTATTAAAGTAGGTAAATTAACTATTAACTTAATGTAAACATAACAGGCCCTATTTCAGATGATTAAACTTTAGGTTAATTAACTTGGATCCTGTGTATATTAAAATTTTATAAATTTAAATATATGTATAAATTCTAGACTTAGGTATAAGTTATTTTGATTTCCATGTTATACCTATATTATTTTATGATCTAATTTGCCCGTAACATTCAATAGCATTATTTTTTAAAAGGTGTTTTTTATTAATTTCATAAAACATAAACATTACCTCAATAAAAGCTAGTTCTCAAAAGGAAAAAAGGACCCTGAGAGGATCACTTTGTTGTCGATCTCCCACAAAATAATTTTCTTTATTGAAATTGGAAACATAATAAGTACAACTGTTTTGAATCGTCAAAAATTAATGTCTGTCAGGACCTTTTATCTCGGAAATACGTGGTATTGAATTCAAAATTTTAAGCTGTAAGCCAATTTAACTCTTAAGTTAACAATAAAAAAGAGATACGGCCGTTTATGCTGCGTATATGTACGGTGGGCGAGTTCGACTCGCACTCACACTTGTCCGGCTTTTTTCTAACTTTTCCGTGTTCCATGAATTTGACAGCCCTCTGAAAAGAGAGAAAAAAATCCGTTATACACCACGAACTATGAACCACTCGATCGAATTCACAGCAGGGCAAAGAATGCTCAATCCATTAGAGATGAAATAGTGTTGCTGGCTACATAAATATGACTTCGTACGCGTGGAGTTAGTTAGAAATAAAGGTTCGCTGCTCGTTCCCCGTAGGCGATAGCACGATAATATGTATCATCATCATTTGACATTGTGGGTAACTTACAATGCGAAGAGATGGCGCTGCCTTGCAGCTTAAGGCTAGGAAAATTTCGACGCGGCGAATAGGGCCGTGGTAGCATAATGGTCAGTACATTCGCCCGGATTACGAAGGGTGCGGGTTCGAGTCCCGTCCGCTGCCTGGTCCGCGTGGATATTTTTCTAGTATACATTTCTTTAGATTTAAACATCGAGCAGTTAAATGCTTAAAAAATAAATAAAAACATAATGATAATATGTAGCCTATATGTTGACCCGACTTCTTAATAATCGAGCCAGATTTAAAGTAAATACATGCAGTACTTTTTGAGTTTATCCCTGACATACATACAGACAAACAGGCAAAAATTCTTAAAACTATATTTTTGGCTTCGGTGTCGTTTGTAGATCACACCCCAAGTATTCTTTTAAAAAATATTCAATGTACAGTTTTGACTTTCGTACCAATAAATACCTCCAACCGGTAGGTTGGAGTTAGGTAGAACTAGGTGTGTGATGTTGGTCAATATTTTTTTAATGTGATTTTTTTATTATCTACGTCGCTCCTTTCCATACAAGCAAAATGTAGCTAATCAAAGTAAATCGACCAAAATCCTTAGACCACTCATTTGACCTGCTTTCCTGAACAACGACAATCTTTCCTGCAAGTCGAAATAAGAATGAATTCATGTATACCACGGTCCCATCACGTTAACACGTGTGCACTGTGCGATTTATCAACTATCGCCATTAATTCTTCACTGTTAAATACAAAAGACTATTGGAGCTATTTATAGTACCTGAACCTGAAATACTTTCGGCCGCGACTGTACCGCGACCATGCGCAAACACATCCTTTCCACTATTGTTCAGCCGTCTTTTTACGTGACGGGGCTCTATACAAATATATTCACACTTTATGAACTTGAATCTCGCTCTTGCAAGCATGTCTATCACACTAATATTATAAAGGCGAAAGTTTGTGAGTGTGTATGTCTGTTATTTCTTCACGTCTAAATGGCTGGAGCGATTTTAATAAAATTTGGTATGGAGTTAGCTGACACCATGGATTAACACATAGGCTTCGTTTTACTGCGGGAAAACATCCCTAATAAACCGCGGGTAACACCGCAGGGCACAGCTAGTAATAAATAATGTAGCAGCCTCTTTCTTACATTTCAAGCATTTTTTTTGTTATTTTAGCTAGTCGTCTGCGCCCTGGCCGCGGTAGCGTTGTGCCGCGAGTACCCGGCCGGAGTACACCCGGCAGTCTGCCCCAACTACCCGTTCTGCGACTCAGGCGCCCTGGCCCGCCATACCCCCGACGGCCAGCCCATCCCTGAATGGGTGTACAACCCCAGTGTACTACCCGTCGCGCCTGTCGAGTGAGTTCCTTGTTAAGATACTACTATTTAAGGACGTCATCAGCCTATTAATGTCCCCACTGCTGGGGAACAGGTCTTCCCTATGGATGCAATAGAGAGATTGGGCCATGACTGCAGATGCAGTCAGGACCAACAGCTTAACGTGTCTTCCGAAGCACGGAGGAGCTCGAGTGGATTTTTGGTCACCCATCTAATAACTGACCACTGCGAAAGTTATTTAACTTCAATGAACGCAGCCAAGTGCGCTAACCACTTGCGCCATCGAGCTCCTCAACATTCATTATTTCAGTCATGTTAAATTGTGAAAGCGCTTCGAATTACATTATTAGTGCAATTAAGTTCAAGTTTATATTTTTTGTCGACAGCCCTGCTCACAACGCCGCTCCTAGGTACCCAGCCGACTTCCCTGCTGCTCTTTGCCCCAACTACCCATACTGTTGGTGAAGAAAAGCAACCACAGCACTCCCAAACGGACTTAGTTCTAAGATACATTCGCTAAACGCGAGATTTTTCGCGCCTTTTCGGTTTTGAAAAGTCTTCTTGACGTTTTCTTTTTTTCCAAAGATGAATAAGCGCAGAAGCGCATTGATTTCTGTACATTATTTAGCAAAAATCTAGTGTTTTAGCCAAATGTTCTCTCCACTGCCATAAAACTAGACAATTTGTTAATATAAAAAATGTAAATACATTTAATGATGTAGGCGTTCGCATTTCAAATGTAAAAACATGTAAATACATACGATACATTTTGGATTTCTTGTGTTTTATTACTTTTAGTTTATTGACACTAATATTATACTGGATGCAGGAGGGTACCTATGTACAAACAAAACTATCAAAACTCGTACTAAGGATACTGTTTTATTTCAATGAAAAACGAATTTTCCATTTAATTACTCATGTTTATTTTTCATTATGAAAATTCCTTCGTCTGAAAACAGTTTAAATTCTCCTAGCCTATTCTAATTCACAAAACTTTCGAACGGAAAGTTGAATTTGACAGATAATTGTACGCAATTTTAACCTCAATTTGACGAAATCAAAAGTGTTACCCATCATTTTCATCTTGGGATTTTTGTTTAAATTAAGCCTAAAATGGCTGCTAGAGTATTTATTTATTATTAAGGTTGCTTAGCGTGAGGAACATTTTTCAGCATGTAAAATGAACAAATAAACAAAATTTTATTAATTAATATATTTCAAAAACTTCAAAGTGTTAAACGATAAATTTTGGTTGACATACAATTAAATAATAAGTCTATGCATACAATCGATTGCATCAACTCTACAAATAAGTCGGCTAACACTGTCAAAGAATGTTCTTTCAATCCCATCAAAAATTTTGTCGCATCTTTTTTTTATTTATAGTATTACAATATATAGAAACTTAAATAACAACAACTTAAAAACTACCTAATGTATAAAATTTAAATACAACTTATGAATAATATCTAAATTTACAAAATGAAAAATAAGTCACCCCCAGCGTCGCCGTCAGGAATGGTGCCCAATAGGCTGGCAGCATTGCCACGTTGATAAGCATGGCTGATCCGTTGACCAAGATAGCTGCCAGCCTTTTGGTCACCAGTCACTTCGGTGAGTCTCTTCGATAATTCCGTAAATAAGGAACGAGCGATTACACCCCATGGGCCCATAGTCTCAACACCAAACGGCACGAATATATATATAGTTCTCATTGAGAGCTAAACACTGCTCCCTGTATGAATAAATAAATATTTCCAACACTCACACCAATTAGCCTAGCCCCAAAGTAAGCACTGTAAGTCTTGTATTATGGGATTCTAGGGTAACGGATAGAATACATATATTCTACATATATAAGTATATTTATATAGAAATACATATTAAACATCCATGACTAGAGTGCAAATACTCGCGTATTCGTCACACAAACATCTGCCCCCACCGGGATTCGAACCCGCGACGCCATGAAACCCGGCAAACAAACCACTCGGCCACGGAGGTCATCATGTCGTGTATGGCACGGAAGAAGCGTATCCGCACAAGTTGCGTCCCATACAAGAGGGCGACCCTGCTCCCAAGGAATGAGTGTCATCCCGTCAGGCCTCTTGCCATCGTCACGAAAGATGCCGCTAGGCTCAAGGACCGCTGGCACATTGACTAGGACAAGAGCTCTGTGGATTACGTCATTGATGCAAGCGTGGTGGGAAACTCGGATAGCGCTCATTTCGCATGAGAGACCATGGTGACCCAACTCACCGACGCGAGTACCGCAAAGACAACGATGGGGATGATTCGTCTTGACACCAAGTCGAAGGGATATTGCAAGAGAAGGAGTGCTCTTGTCAATCAAAGTCCCGATATTGGCTCTAACTCAAACTCTTTTATTCAGTCTAGGTTATTACAAGCTCTTGTGAAAGTCAAACGCTACGTCATTGATCGGTTCGTAAATCTACGGCGGGAGATCTTGTACTGAGAAGAACCGGCAAGAAACTCAGCAAGGGCTATTTTTTCTCCCTGTTTTGTTTCTTATAGTGTTTCAATTGAAAGATGACATTAAAAACTCATAACATGTGTTGATGTCAACTTTCATCACATTAATATACAGTCGAATACAGAACCTCCTCCTTTTTTGAAGTCGGTTAAAAAGTGGAAATAAAAAGAACTCACAAACATGACTCATAGCAGTCGTTCACGAAAATTTATTGTGATTCCGAACTTTATGTGGCATGTTCAAAAATGAAAGAGGATAGAGTCACTGGCGAAATTTCGTGTCAAATACGTTCGTTACCGAAATTTCTTTTCGGAGAAAGAGAGTAGAGCTTATGGAGACATAAAGCTACATGCTACATGTTATTATGGTAATAAAACTTAGAATAATAAAAAAATACGTAAAAAAAAGTAATGGTGTGGTTTTTAAAAACACGTTGCAAGTGAAGCTTTTTAAATCTTAATGATAAAGTCCTTCCTTGACTGGGAATCGAACCCAGGCCGCCCGCGTAGCAGGCAAGCTTTCTACCACTGAACCACCGATGCTTATTGATAAGATCTGATTTCTTTATAACCATTAAATATTTAATGCGAATTTCTAAAAATTTACGAGAAAATATAATAAAAGTTTTGCTTTAAAAAGAAATATAGAAGTGAACATAATTATTATTCCGTCTGCTTTAGCGTCAGTTACCATACCCAATATTGATCAAATTGAAGCATGAAAATGGATGTATCTCGCAAAAGAACATAGGAGACATTTTGAAGCAAACATTAAATTATCAAAGGTTAAAAAAGGGGGTAAATGTGCATAACGTAATAATTATTCCTAGCATTCAAAACACAATGCGCACACACACCTTCATAAGAGACAAACATATTAAAATTACTATCTAGATACAGCGCGTCAAGAAATAACTCGTTGACATTCATTACCATTGATTAACATAGAAATGACAATTTTAGTGACAAGTGTTTACCATTCAAAGACCTGTAGACATTTTGGAACCGGTTTCAATATACAATGGAAACACTAGACAAACTATGTAACGATTGTAATGTGAGGAAAACATGGTTTTGGGAGAGGCAGCCATTGTTCTATACATCACTTATTTAACCTACTTTAATGAAGAAGTTTAAAGAGATAATAGGTATCATTCAGGTAGGAAATGCAGGACTGGTGCTCAATTTATATCAGCTGTATCAGCGATTTTCGTAACTGAAATTAACTTAATGTGTGTAGATGGACAATAACAATACAACAAATGTATCAAACTTTTTTTTGCAAGAGATGGAACTAGAAGGTGGCCATAGGATCTCTTCGAAATAAAACCACGTTACAGCATCGAGTTGATTAGTACTTTGGTCCTAGATAATCATCATCATCATCAGTCTATTAATGTCCCCACTGCGGGGTCACAGGCGTTCCCTATGGATGGAATACGGAGATTGGGTCATGACCCACCACGCGAGCCCAGTGCGGATTGGCGGGTGCTAACGACTGCAGATGCAGCAGGGACCAACGGCTTAACGTGCCTTCCGTAGCACGGAGGAACTCGAGATAGAAGATTTTTAGTCACCCATCCAATGATCGACAACTGTGAAAATTGCTTAACTTCAACGATCACAGCCGAACGCGCTAACCGCCCGCGCCATCGAGCTCCTCGTCCTAGATAAACTCCTAGATAATATCCATACGCAACCTTAGCAGATTTGGACCTCTGGTAGGATGGACCGTTTATGTCACATACTTGTGGGAACAACATGAATAATACTAGTACACAAAGATAACGACGATAAATAGTAGGCAAATTGTTCGAAAATTCAGAATCATAAATACGCGCAATAAAATTAAAATTAAACAAAATATACTTTTTAAACAAGGACTCAAAGTTAAAAATAGTTTAAGTCTGATAAGAAATATGCCATTTTATAGTTTAATTTAATCCCGGAACCATAGTTCCTAACTCCTGACAAGGAACCCTTATAGTTTCGGCATGTCCGTCTGTCCGTCCTCGGTTTTGCTTGGAGACTATTATCACTAAAGAGCTGTAATTTTGTGGAGATATTTATATCGATCACGCCAACACAATGGTAGAATAATTTTATTAATATTTTTTTTTGTAGGTTATATATATTTTATTTTACTATTGTATTTTTTAAAGGCAGGTTAATAATACTTATTTAAGTTAGTATTGATGTGTAACATCTTTCCTCTCGCTTTCGTGCAATTTGTGTGAGTGATTACGTGAAGTGGGACGGAAGTGTGTAACAGGAAGTTTGGGAAGCGCGCGCTATTTGATTTGATTTTAGAACATAATATTTAAATGGTTTATCCCTTTTGTTTTTACTAATGTAAGATGGGATTTCGAATGTTACACATCATACGCGAATAGATAGGTACTGTAAGGATCGCTCGTTTTTTTTGACCATTTTTCTCGAAGGCTACATTATTGAGTACGAACAGTTTAAAAAGCCGTCATGAACCTTTAAATTGCCACTCTGGAACTCCAATAAGCCCGATTTGGTCATACATGCATGATTGACCACCAAATCAGGAACTCGCCGCTACTTGTCATCACAGATGACATTATTCATTTTAAGCATGGCGGACGTGTGTTGGCGCGAAAGTCGATCCGCCCTGTCATTGTAACAATAATAATTACTTACATTGATTGACGGGCGTAATAAAAGAAGTATTTTTTTGCTATTATTTTGCAATTACTTTTTAGTTTGAGGGATTTTAAGCTCACCCATCTTCCGTAGTGTTGTTTTTATACAAGTCTACAATACAGTTTTACTCGATTCTTTGAATTATGAATTCATGGCTTACCTTCCATTGTAAAATAATGTACCTACCTATCCAATGAATTAAACACAGATTATTGCGGCCACAGCTAACGTAACTCTTTAATAAGCTGTTGCAAACGCGTAAACAAGTATTTAGGGCGTAACATGTTGTGCTGTTTCATCGGAATTTTTCGATTGTACATACTTGACAATTAGCGAACACATACGCGACATATTTACACGAGAGCATAAAAAAAATCAAAATGGTAAAAAAACAATTGTTTACCTAACCTTATCAACAGTAGAGTCTGTGCGGAAAGAGAATGGGCGTGGCGAAAAACGGAACTAACATTAACATTTTTATTTGGCAATCAAACCCAGCAATCTGTAAAACGTCAAAGTTTTGTATTGATACGGATTTGTTTGTTGTTGTGATTTCTTGCGGTTTTTTGTATTTAATCATGTCTAAAAGGGGTAAAACCTTACAAATACGGTAGAATAGCACTACAGCCCCCACCAATATAAATCCCATTCTCTTTCCGCACAGACTCTATCCTATTCTATATGTGATCGTTTTTTTTTTGAGGATAATTTAAAGATTTCCCCTTTTTAGGGTTTCGTAGCCCTGACGAGGAAACCTTATAGTTTTGTCATGCCCGTGTGTCTGTCCGTCCCCAGTTTTGCTTGGAGACTGTTAGCACTAAAGAGCTGCAATTTTGTGGAGATATGAACCTATATCAATTATGCCGACAAAAAGGTAGAGAACATTTTTTTTTTCAAACAGTTCCTCAAAGTTCGCGGTAGAGTACCAAAACGGTAACGGCCTCTGAATCTTGGAAAGATCGGCGGCTATCAATCGTAATTAAAAAAAAAATTGAATTAATTTTGAGATTAAGACGCAAATTGACTGATTTAGGTATTTTATTTGAGATACATAGTTTGATAGATAACTGCCACTTGAAGAGTAATACTATTGTTTCGTTTTCGTCTTTTATATGATGGACTTAAAACAAATAACGAATGGTTATACTAGGCCTCTATATATTGCTTTCTTGTAAATGCTTATTGAATCTCCACACTGGATGTCTTTAATGGTGATAAAAATTTGTTTATTTTTGGCATTTTTGAGGGCTTCTTGTTTCTTTGAAACACAAGTTATCGACAAAAAGGAAGACAGGAGCAAAGAATGAGTAGAATTATATTTTATATATGAAAATCATTTCTTTAGTGATAAAAATCAAGGAGAAATCAGTCGAAAAGGTTTGTAAGGAAAAAAAACACTGCCCACCACCACTCTGAAGCGGCAAAGTTCATGACCAAAACCACAGACAAATAAAAATGCGCAGTAGACGTTTTTGTTTAAAAAAAATCTACTGCGCAGGCTTCCCTGTCTGTGGTCGTCGTGTTTGTATACATAACTCTTATTTAGGCAATTGTGAGAATGAAAATGGATATTTCTGTTATTCGTCAATTTAATATGAAAGACACGGTCGGCTGTCTCCCA